CTAAAATCTATAGATTATAACCTTGAACCAGACTGAAAAAAATGTAATCTAAGAAAACTATAAATTTATAGTTGTTTTTTAACAACAACAGTAACAATTACAAGATCTATACTGAGAAAAACGTCAAAACAGATAATGAAATATTATTTATAGATTATATAAAGTTTAAGCATAATATTAAGAAATTTGGACCATTGGTTTTTGGATGGAACGTTTACATCTTGCCCAAATTGATTTGGTCAATGATTTACAATTTACACAGTTTACTCTGATGAAATAATATCCTTAGTGTATATTTTGTTGCTTGATAAAAACAAAAAGTAACATATTATAATAAAATGCTTCAAGCGTTAAAATCTTTCAAGTTTGATAAATGTCCTAAATAATTTACAACAGATATTGAAAAAACAGCAATGAACTTTAACAAAAATCAATTTTCAATTACAGAGATACGTAGCTGTTTTTTTTTTCATTTTAGTCAAGCAATTTGGCGAAAATTCAAAACTATGAATTAATAAATTAATAAATGGAAGATGTAAATTTTTCATTACAAGTTAGAAAATTAATACGGCTTAATTTTATACCCATACAGAGTAGTAAATTATGTGGAAGTTTTGTTGGAGAGAGAGTTTTATACGAAAAATAAAAACATATTATTTCCACTCATCTGTTTTAAAGGTACGTGGTTCGGGATTTTAGATAGGAAAGGTCGATGTCGAAAACCACAATATCTTATTGAAATATGAAATTGTTTAGAACGTCTACAACATTATAGATCTATTAAGAACCAATAACAATATTGAGAACTGGCATAATGTATTTTCGGCATTCATAACTTGTAAAAAATAGTTATATGGACATTTATAAGTGCATTGCAAAAAGATGAAAGCTTAAAAAATGTTACGAAAGTGCAACTAATTACTAGGTATACTACAATAATTAAAAAAAAAAAAAAAGTATAAAGATTCATCAAACATGTTGTTTTTAATATGTGCTAATTCAAGTGATTTTATAATTAGCGAAGTGCTTCTAGGTATTTCGCACAATTTTAAGTTCTTTAAATAGTAAAATATAAGTCTATAATAATTATTATAAATTATTCTATATATTAATAAATCAAATATAATAGTATTTTATATAAATTATATATTTTCATTTTTACAATAAAATCATGAAAGAATTTTACGCAATTTGTATTCAGCGTTGTTTTGCGTCAACATTGACTCGCGTTTAAAAATTACAGCGTGGAAATTGTATGTGTCGAAATGACACATGTGCCCAATTGTTGTCCATCCAAATGACCGCGTTCATTTAGCACGCGTCGAAATTATCACATCAAAATGACGGGACGCCACATATTTTGTAAGTTTAACTCTAGAAGCTAAGTTTTATTATTAATGTATATATTATTATAATTATTATGTCACCTATTTACACAAGAAATATATATGTATACATAATATTAACGATTTAATATTTTTAATTTGGTGTACTAAACAGATTGCTATTACCCAGTCATTTTAATAGTTCTAATCCAATATAGTAAAATTAAAATAACCCAGTTATAACGGTTTTTTATAAAAAAAATATTTAAGATGTATTAATATAACAATTTAATTATCACATTTGTTTAGATTGAACCATCAAGTTTATTAGTGTAATAATGTTTTTCTGTGTTTTATTTAGATAAAAAACATGGATGATTTACAATATATTTGTTTTATAATGCGGCAATGTTATACTATTTATACATAACTTAAAAATTCTATGATTATCTTAAAAGTAATTTCCATGTCAAAAAAACTTTTATTTGTTGTGTAATCATGACATATTTACCCCAAATCTTTTTAGCCTGTGAGAAAAAAAAGAAAAAAACCCAGTGGGTATAGTTACGTTGTGCACATGAAACCATATTTTAATGGAGATAGATGATACAGCATTTATAAAATAAAAGCTTTACTTTTTGCCAAAATCTTAAAGGATTTTCCCCAAAGAACAGCTGTATAGCAAAATTAATGAAACAAACTATTTATTGGTTTTTTTTTTTTTTTTTTATTTCTATCATTATATTATGTAAAATTTTAAAATATAAATTAAACTAAGTAAAAAAAAAATAATGTATGTTATATAAATACAGTCAATTTAAAAACAAGTTGATAACCGTTCTGCTGTACAGTGTGATTCTCGTCATTCTTTAAGTTACTGTAATATGACTGTACTGTTAAATTTAAATTAAATTACAAATCATTTCTTATACTAAAATATCAAATAGATCCAATTTTATATTAGAAATCACTCTCAAAATTGATGATCTATAATTATGTTTACTGCTTGAAAAGGAAATAATAGACACACTAAACACCATTCTATTAGATATATTTCTTTAAAAGCACTACTTAGAAATAATAGATATGTTTTTGAGCATAAACCATAAACCAAATTAATTCTTAGCCACGAGTAGATTTTAAACCTATGGTTTTCAACCAATTTACAATGCGACAGACTATCTTCTATAAAATGTTCGTGGCACACTAATTCGTACAATATATAAACATATTTAAATATAATTATATACACATTTATTATGTACACTAATCAATTTATTAATATAATAATCTATTAATAATCTTTTCTGTTATAGGGTTAATTTTATTATTGTAAAATAAATAATACACTGATGAAAATATGTATTAGTAGCAATATTTGTTTTTTTATATATTATTATTATTGTACAATGAAAAAAAAAATACATTAATCAATGAGATATTTATGTTTTCCGTGTAGTGCACATATGTTTAATGTTTATAATTCTTCAGTTTTTACTCACTGGAAATATTTCGATAATAATACTGGTAAATACATACTTATAAAACTATTCATAGATTTATTGCGTGCCACGCTTCAAGGATGTTCACAGTTTACTACGTGAAAACTACTCTTTTAAACTATTATTTAGATCACTAAGAATGATGAGTCTTCAGTCGCTATAGTAACAGATTTCAATTAACAGCGTTGCGCATTATCAGTTATGGTCAGAAAAAAAAATTGTATCCATCCCAAAACATTGATCTATGTCAAAATCAATAGAAATATTGCTGCACTTGGAATTAAAAAGGTTTATTTGTAAAAAAATAACGTTAAAAAAATATATAAAATAATATTATTTTAATGAAAGGTGGACAATCTATCAGTCACTTATAAACCATATCAAATATAATAAAACATATTTTTACTGAACGTCTAAAATACCAACGAATTTGAAGTGAGCTGTGAGCTGAATATCCCGTACAACCTCAATGAACTTCTTGCACTAAATCCAGAAACACTCTATTTTTAACATGTTTACATTTATCGGCACTATATAATTTAATCGTTGGTATCATTATTTTATCATATTTGTCCCATTTATCCCTATATTAAACCACAAACTTACATTGTAATATTTTAGACTTAGAAAACACTATAATCACTGTTGGTACGTATTAATACATAAAAATAGGTTTCTCAAAAATATGTATACATAGTGTTATAAATATTGCATCCACTTAATAAAATTGTATTTCAAGAAAAAATATCAAGTTCATGAAATATAAACTATTTTTTTTCTACTTAGTGAAATTTTTAAAAATTGCAGGACATCTTTTCATGAAACAGCTATTAAAATTGATATCAATTGATATCGTATAATATTTTTCATAAAATTACTATCTACTTGGTTAAATTAAATATATAGTTTTTATTAACATATTATTTTAAAAATTTTGAATATTGTGTCATTGATTCAATAATTTATTTATTCAAAAATGTATTTGAATTGTAACAACAACTATTAAACTAAATTTTACTTTTGAATTTTACCACTCCCTTTTTTACACTTGATTCATTTTACTATATTTTACGTGTTTAACCACATAATTTTACTATGTACTTATATCGTGTATACTAAAATGGGCGCATGTAAACTTTACCACAAGTACTTTTTTTAGTATCAACTCCACTAGTAAAAAAAATCAAGTGACACTGCAACAGTATAAAATTAATGTGAAGGAATTGGAAAGCATAAAGTAATATTAAAACCACTATACGAATTTTTAAAAGTAATATTATGCTGCTCCGTTTCAAAAAATTTAATAAACACATTGCGATTTTTGTTATTGAACTTCAATTTTGACGTATGTCATCACAACGGATATCAATATATTTAATGTGGGAAGGTCTTAATACTAGTAAAGTTTCCATTCATCCATTATAGGTAAGATATTAAAACTGGTGGAGTTTACGATCACCCATTAGAATAGCTATAGGTAATTTCTATCAAATATATTAGTATAGATTTAAAAAAAAAAAAACATTATAAAATAAAACAAAAATTTCCTATTAAATACTTATTACCTATCTTCTTTTATTGAATAATTAAATAAAAACTAAGCTATTAAAATAGTAAAATATCCAATTTTTTTCAAAATAATATCTTTAATAAAGATTAAATATTTTGTTTCACTAAATAGATGGCTATTTGATAAAAAAATAATTTTATGATATAAAATTTTAGAAAAATTGTATTAAAATTACATAATATTAATTTCAAAAAATTTAATGTACCATCAAATGGAAAAAATTAATTTCATTTCATGAGCTGAATAATTTTTAATAGACTGCACTAATTTACCAAGCGAATGCAATATATCATATATCTATATAAACTTTTATAACTAAAAATTAATTTTGTTTAGATTTTTTTTAATCAAGATAACAAAGCTTCCAATGTACATTTTAAGCATTTATTGAGTAGTTATTTAATAATGCCAATATTATTTAAGTACATAATTCTACAATATAATTACAAATTAAATTTAATAGGAATAAATATGTTTCGTAGGAAAATATTTTGTATTAAATTAAAATAATATGTACAAAATATCAAGGTTTAAAATAAATTCCTAGTAATTAGTGTTAGAAACAAACTATTAAATAAAACAAATGAAAATTTTACACCGAATACTAATAATAAGTATTATCATTGTACTGCGTCTATCATATTTGTTGCCGTATTAGAAGTGTTAGTAATATTGCAGTCATAACGTTCTGAGCACCATGTTACCCAATTTACTGGGTTATCCGACTTGTTATATATCACATTGCTTACATCAGAATATGCTTTGAGATAAGATTCTAGTTTTTCATTTGGAATAACTTTTGATATTCGATAAAGCATCCTAAAATAAAATAGTATATGATGTTAATGTCATCATAAAAATTAAAAAAATATTATTAAGCAATTTATAATAAAATATTGGATTATTATTATGTTTTTTATTAACGGTTTTTTCAATTTGTGAAACCCGAAAAAAATAGATTTGATTTCAACAAAATACCTACGTATTTAAATTATACGTAGGTAATCAAACAAATTTTATTTGTTACTAGTAGAATTAAAAAATACAAGTGTAATGAGATAAACCAAAAATAAAAATAAAAGTTATTCAATATTTTATTATTGTTAATGCAATGCTTAAAACAATATAGTATTAATATTATAAATGGATACATCTACACCGTATGTATTAGTAATAGACTATAAAAAATAATTATTTAGCATATAGTTTTCAGACCTGATGCTTTTACTAGGAATAGTAAGAAAGCATAACTAGTAACATAGTTAGAAGACATTTTTTTCAGGGAGAAAGGTAAGCAAGATATTATAACTATTTTATATCTATTGTATCTAAAAATATACAGGAAAAGAGTGACATTCTTCTACCCCTCAAATAATTTGGAAATAATACATCTATACTAATGGAATAACTCGCTTCATCGCTCAACCGGGACTTCAACTCTATGTCTCACTCAATCAAATGCATCATCGTCGTCAATCTCAAATAACTCTCACAGACATATTAGCTGTAAGAAACTTTATTATTATTTGCGAATCGTATACTAAAATGTCATCCTTTATTTTATATTTTAATATTGTCAACGTAACCCAATGACTACTGCGTTTGCAGGTTTAAACAATACTAACAACAACAATAATAGTAATAATAATAATAATAAAGAAAAAAATATATTGTCAAAATACATTAATTTATTACCAATTAATCCAAACTGGAAGTACACCGGCTTTTTCCACAACAGCCATCCGACACGCAATTCTTTCCACGCACTTTTCCGAGTCCAACACTCTCCGGAATACAGTCAAAGCCGGGTTGAACATATCCAATCGCCGGTGATCGCTTACCGTTATGTCGTCTGGTTTACTGAAAGACGGCGGCAAGACGCCGTTTTTTCCGGCCGCCGTGCCCGTGATCGGAGTAGACTCCGTGAAAACTTTGGTAGCCGCGGTAGCCGACGCCGGTACGAACACTGGTCCTGTCAGGAAATCGAGTATTCGTGACGGGATGGTCAACAGCCCGCCAACGAGCATCGGGGCTGAGAACAGTGACAGGATTAGCGGCAGGAGCGTCATCAGGATGAGCGGTATCATAATTAACTTGAATAGCTTCATCAGCTTGGCGATCAACAGGAACTTGAAAAACATGGCGATCAGGAACATCTTGAGCTTGAACACGATCAGGAACAGGATCTTAAGGAACCCGAACGCCTTGAGCTTGGCCAGCCCGATCTTAAACAGCGCTATCATGCCGACCTTGTGCCAGTCGATTTTGTCGTAGATCATCTGCACCTGTTGATTGAAGTTGCTATTCATGTTGTACTGTCCCGTGGGACGGTGGCCGTACGGATACGCCGGCGGAACGTTACTTATGTACGATACGTGATGCTTGTAGCCGACCGGATATGGGTAAGGCACCGCGGCGACGCCGTACGGCGGACGGCCAATCGTCGGAACGCCACCGCCGTAACTTCCTGTTTGGCCGCTAGAGCTCCATCCGGTTCCGTCGTTGGGGTTAGCGCTGTACGAATCTTGATAGCCAGCAGAACCGTCTTCTTCCGCCACCGATATGTCCGTGTCGATGGTCGAGTAATCGTTATTGCCCATTTGCCTGCAATGATAAGATGTGTTTAGACGCGATAAGAGTGTCGTACTTCTCAACCCTAACCCATTGATTCCTTGACAGCAGAGTCAAAACGGTTTAACACCAGCCCGGAGATAGCAAGCTGTTATATTAAGTACTATATGTGAATAGCAGTGATACTTAAAATCAGTATATTTACCTATGCAGTGTTTAATTAACTATAAATATTCCATGGAGTATATTACTATATTTTATAATTAAAATTGTTTCTCTCTCAAAACGAAAATAAAAATTTGTTGTTTTTTTTTTAAAATTTTAATTCATATTCATCGTTCTATACCTGATAAATAATAAATAATATTTATTTTAAGAGCATGTAATAATTAATTGATTGTTAAAGTAATATTATCTACTGCTACATATAATAAGTAAATAATCGTATTCAAAAATTCAAAAAAATAATATTGTACACCCACTATAATAAGTATTTTTTACTCAGTACTGTCCGTTAGAGTTTAACAAAAATCTAGATTTATACAATAAAATATGAAAAAGATTTTTAAATGGGACGTTGAAGTGTTTTAATATTTTGTAATCATGCCTATATAAAAATTCCAGAACTTTATAAGTAACAATCGGAGTTAATTTCTTACCTATTGTTCACGTGATACACATCGGCATCGACAATAATGTTGGCCTCGTTATCGTGATCGTCATCTTTGTTGCTCACAACAGTCATGCTGTTACTGGCTTGGTAGTTGGGCTGGTGCGTTGTTTTTCCTATCAATTTTCCTCGAACTACTATTGGCGAAGTTTTCTTACCGGACACCAAAGGTCCGAGTACGGTGATGCGATTGTCACCGTTAAACCCACTATTCAAAGACCTACTAGTGGCTAACTGCAAGGGTTCAGCGGTAATGGTAGAAATAGTGGTAGTCGATGTTGTTGTTTGGTTTTCGTTTTCTAATCTTTCTTCTCCCTTCGGCTCCGGAGTTACGACCGCAACGATCGTCCGCACTTCTTTCCGTTGTTCGTCTACCGGGTTTTCAGTCGCTTTCGGCGTGACGGTTTTGGAAGTTATGCTGACCGATGGAAATTTTCCTTGGTCTCGGGATCCCGGTTTCTCACTGGTCTTGTTGTAAACAGTCCCAGAGGTCTTGGACATCGCCTGACCCGAGCGAATACACAGGAGAGTGACGACGGACGTCACCACGATGATGGCCAATATTTTCACGACGTTCATGGTGAACAGCCGGCAAGCGTTGGTCCTCGTGTTTGCTGGTCGTTTTTAAGCCTACGGAACAACACACACTCTTTGGTATGAGAACTGACTATTAAAAACAATATATTATTATGTTTCTGCTAGACTGCTATTCGACGCCGCAGACCTGCGAACACAAAAAACAGACACGTTGCTCAGTAGCAGAAGTAATTATAAGTAAATATGATATTTACTTAAAGGTATGGCTCGTGCACGTCACGCGGAAAGTGAAAACTATTGCACTTTTCAACAGTTATTATTCGCAACGTAAATTATAACGCTATAGTACATCCAAATCATTATTAACAATAATAGTAATAATATTATTATTATTATTATTATTTATTGCAGTCGAACGTTGTCTTATACATGTATACTATAATAATAATAATACTGAAATAGTGATTTTTTTTTTTGCGATTCGTGAACGCTACTGACACAGTCTGTGAGGTTCGAAAACCGTCCGACTATTGTTATCTCGTGTACAACCAACAATATAACCGTTTAATCATCGAACTATATTAACGAATTTTTATTATGTTCCACCGTATGATTATGGCGTTGACACACGGTCTAAGGAATATTTGTTTTCTAATAACAGAGATTCCTAAATAATAAATAATAACATCTAACATATTTCCAAACATAGATTACTATTTACCGGATATCAATTTTCTGATGTGTCATCGAGATTAAAATGTGCGTTTTCTCATTAAATATTTATATATATGTATTATAATAGTATTAATAGTAATACATAATAATATATTTACTATTTATATAAATAAACTAATTACTTACTAATGGGGCTAAAGTTTATATGTAACAGTATGCTTTTTTTTGCAACTTTTGTTAGTTGATTTTGTTAGAAATGTCCAAAAATCAACCCACAATGAGGTAAATTGTGGTGTTTTTATTTTGTATATGTATTTTTGCACATTTTGAATAAAATTAATATTATTGCATATTCTGACTATAAAACTGTAAAAAAATGCTTATTTTGTGATATACTTCGTTATTAGACGTATTTTTCATGTGACAATATCCACAAATACCTACCTATATAAAAATATATTAAGGTCTAACAGAAGATTGTTCAGTTATAAAAATTTAAATAACTATTTAATTGTTTCGTGAAATATATTTGATTAACATGAATAATTATGAATAATATTTTATAAATTTTAAAATGTATTAATTTTTTTTTTTATTATTTTATATTTCATATTTTTTCCAATTTTTAATATTAATTGCATATTTCTAATAAACCATATGTATATTTTACAATTTTTATTGCATATAATTTCTAGCCCTACTTATCAATATATATTATTTGATGAAATTACATCGATTTTACTTGTATACGAGCATAGCCGTCTATTATATTGTTACCAAAAGTGTAAGATATTTTTATTTATTTTTAATCGATGATATATATTTATTGAACTTTTATAATAAGTAAAAAATAATATTATAGATTTATACTATTATTTATCTGTTTCCAATCTTTTGGTAAACGAAGTTTTTTTACAAATCATAACAATGGTAAATAATAATAATAATAATAATTTTTTTTTTAAATTTCAAAAATCTAAAAAATAGACTACAACTTGACGTTCAATACCGCTTATCAGTGAACATGTTCAACTTTATCTTTGACTAGTGTTTATATATTGGCCCATTTAAAAATCAAAAATGTATTTTTAACAAAAATATATAAATCAATGGGCTATATATAATATGTTTGTGTATAGTAAATAAATTATATTAGTTAACACATAGTGTATTGTACAAGTCACACTATTGGGGGACAAAAAAAATATTAATTTTTCACGAACATGACCGCCCAACAACAATAGACACTTTTACATTATATAAGGCAAATAAAAATAACAATCTTTCAGTATAATAAATATTTTTTTTTTTTTTTTTTTTAATGGTGCTTCTCCGGTTTTATAAAACTCGGTCGTACATGAGGGTCAGAATCATTTGTAACTATGTATTGACTATAACGACGTTTTTTTTTTTTTTAGACTTTTTTATCAAAAGAAACAATAAACATTTTTATTTTTTTTTCAACAAGTCTACATACATAGTATACTTTTTATTGTTGTCAATTCTGTAAAATACTGTTCAAGGAAACAACAAAATCACGTTAAAAATAATCACTATTGGTTGTTATTTGTCCATCTGAAATGAACTGAATTAGTAAAAAAATAAATATCAAATAAATTTCTATATTTTTTGTCCATGTAATAACTAATAATGTAAAAATATTTTTTAGCTTCAATAATTGGCATATAATTTTCATCAAAGTTTAAAACCTTTGCATCATAGTTTAAATTATTTAAACTACATTAAAAATATTAAATATCTCATGTTGAGAATATTGCGTTATTATAAAAATATTATTTTTCAACACAATTTACTATTAGATATATAAGTATATATATGTATATATACTATTATATACACGTGATTTGAATAAAATATAAAATATCATAATTTATAATTTGTTGTTAGTTAAATTATAATTATAAATTGATAATGACAATTAAACATTTATTAAAAAATATACGATTTTATTATTATTTTTTTTTTTTAACATATACCTTGTATAATATTATAGGTATTATTTTTAATTAAACAGATCCTTAGTTTTATAGATGATTTGTTTATATTTGGAATAACAACAATTGCGAGTTTTTATTTTTTTTTTTTTGTATAACCAACGTATTTTCTTTGTCATGTTGATAGTTTTACATCAATCTGATAATATTTTTTAATTTTATTGGTTTAGGTTTCGTACAGAATGATGAATATATAGATTTTATAGTCATTTTTTTTTTTTTTGTCTTTTATGCTTTTGAATGGTTAATTATTTTTATATATTTATATTAAATTCAATAAATAAATAATACGATGCTTAAGTATCATTTATATTGTATTTGTATACTATAAAATAAAATGATAATCTCGAGGAAGATACACAAAATTATCAAATAAATATTACAATAAAAACTTTAAAATCGGGGCTTGCATTTGAAAAAAAAATGTTATACGTTATTTACAATTAAAACTTTATAACATTTTGAGTTTATCGTTATTCAGAATTAAAATTTTTAGTATATTTTATAAATTATAATTATTAAATAACTGAAAATTAATTATTTAATTTGATGATATACAATATACCTCTAAAATTTTGTTTGATGATAATATATTTTTATAATCGTTATGTTTTGTTTTGTGTTATTTAATTATTTATGTTTATCGTTTTCCGTTATAATTACGTTCACAAATTTCAATCATTTTTTTATCAAATATAACGTTATAATCATAATGTTATTATAAAATTTGCACGCCTTGATTGAAATACATATTTTTTTCAATATGTTAGAATTTATTAGAAACACGTGTAGCTTTGTTGCGAAACTAATAACGAACATTTAGTATGGTGTAACTTAATTAATTTAACCGTCAACCGTCAGGTTAATACTTTATTTATATATATTATATTTAGTAATAAAATGTAATTTTAATGAGGAGCTTAGATTTTACTCATATTTAAAACTTTTGAAACTTCCGTAATGTTTTGATAAAATGTATTATTCATTAATAGATTGAAATACCATTTTTTTTTTTTTTTTTTTTTTTTTTTAGCATTATCTATATGTAGGTACTAATGATAGCAATAATTATAACATATATGTATACTTTATGATTCGTTTAAAATAATTCTTACTTCTAGTATAAAAATAAAACCACTTATAAATATTATAACTTGTATTTAGATATGCCTACTACAAACCATATACTTATGTTTAAGTTTAAACATAGATATAGATATGTTAAGACAGTAGAGTTAAATTTAAAAATACGATTATTTAAATTTTTATTGTCAATTTAGAGTTTAAAAGAAAAAATAAGCTTATATTGTTATAATTAATCTGATACAAATATTCTTTTTTTTATACATTATGTACACGTTAAAATAAAACCAATTTTAAAACACATGATGACTCTTAACAGCAATAAATCTTAAACGAATAAAAAAAAAAAAATTGATAAAAATTATTTGTTACTGGTCATTTGAAACTATAAAAATAACACTTAAAAATCCATTAATTTGTTAAGTTGTACTCATTTAAAGTATCTATGTCCATTTTTTTAATAATTTGATAAGATTTATTCACATTTTATTCATATTCTTAGTAGGTACCCGTTAGGAATTTATACACTTAATTCAGATTTAAATGTTCAATATTTAATTTATTAAATAGATAAATTACAAATGACAAAAAGTGGATTTGTTCTTAAAATCAAGAACCAACTAGAAACCATCCTTTATTTAAAATTTAAATGTTGTCTGTGTATTTTACTGTGTTAACTATATGAAATTAGCTTAGTAGACCTACCTGCAGAATACTCAAGAGAAAAATTTATGAAATTAGTGTACCATTTAACACTTCAAAAAATAAATTATAAATGTTAGACTGTTTTTTTTTGTTAGTATTGAATATCATTTTGAACTGTTACAGAAACATACGGCTTACATTTTATTTTTACATAATACTTGTCTTGGTATATTGATATTATTATACATTTTATTTCAGCACTTGATTTTATGTTGCCAGCCTCATTACTGTTATAATAAACAACGTAATTCATGTTCTCAAAACAAAAGAAATATAACACTTAAAACAGTAGAACTATCACTAAATTAGTAAGTAGTACATTAGTCAATAATATATTATATTTAAAAATCTGAGCTTTTCACCTAATGCAACTTTACACTTGTAAATGTTTGTTTTTCAGGTTTTCATATTTTTATTTTTTAAGTACTTTTCTTGGTTTATCAGTTCTTGTTGGTTTTATAATTTCGTTATCCCTTATTTAATTTAAAATATATAGTACTCACTGGTATTACCATCATATAAATTTAACAAAACATTTTTATTTATATCAATATAATTTTGTAATAACATCTATTGTATACGATATAAAACCTATAGTA